AAAAAAAAAAAAAAAAAAGTGTATGTAGCTTGCCTAAGGTTAACCAGTTAATGAAAGGTCAAGCCACTTACAGACACTAATATTTAGCACTTTGAGGTTACAAGAAGGTGACAGATTCTTTAGTTTCTAATTTACAGATAATAAAAACCCATTGCCATAGAGTCAATTCCAATTCATAGCAATCATATAGGATAGAGTAGAACTTTCCCATAGGGTTCCCAAGGCTGTGTATCTTTACAGAAGCAGATTAACACATCTTTCTCTTAGGTAGCAGCTGTTGGGTTCCAACCAATAACCTTTCAGTTTGCAGCAGAGTTTTAACCACACTGCACCATCAGAATAAATGAATAAAGTAGAATGCAAGTCTATTTCTAGGAATCCTAGTGTGGCACTGTAAGATAAGGATGAGACTGTCTGTTACCCAAGGTCTGTGGTTCCAACCTACCAGCCACTCCTAGGAAACCCATACAGGGTCGCCATGAGTCAGAACCAACTGGATGGCACTTAACAACAGCCTTTATATCTCCAGGCATCCAATACCTCTCCCAGAAGTAATCTTCCTTCCAAATAATTTATCCATATGAACATTATGTACAAATTTGTCCTCTTTTTTTCTGGCACAATTTTTTTTTCCCTAACTGTCATATACACACTGTTCTGAAACTTGCTTTCAAATAAAAAATTTTACCTAGTAATGTAACTTTATGATGCTTCTCCACCAGTGAATGCCTTAAATGTATTTAACTGTCCCCTAATGAGGAGGAATCCTAGTGTGGTGCTGCAGGTTTAACGTGCTGGACTGCAAGGTCAGTTTGAACCACAAGGTCAGCAGTTCAAGCTCATCAGTCGCTCCTTGGAAACCCTATATGGGGTCACTATGAGTCAGAACCAACTCAACATCGCTTAATAACAACAACATAGAAACCAAAGACTATTAGTAGCTTAATCAAGGTTGATAAAGGAGAAAAGGGAGAATTTTTGCTTTCAGGGATGGAGTAATTTAGAAAAGGATACCAAGAACAACAACACAACTTAAAGAATGTAACTAGCACCAGTGAATTATACATGAAGAAATTCTTGCACTGGTGCATGCTTTGTTGAGTATATTTTCACCATTTAAATTAAAACACTGCAATGAGAGACCATACCAAGCACATCAAGCTGGCATGATTAAAATTGGTAATTAAGTGCTGGCAAGGACGTAGAACAATTGACATTCTCACACACTGCGGTGAAGTGCAAATTGTTGCAACCTCTTCAATAATAGTCAAGTATTAATTTGAAAAGCGTAAGGTCTGTTTGTCCTATAATCTAAGATTACCCCTATCTTTAGAAACTAGAGCACATATACACCAAAATACACGCTTAGGAACAGGAAACAACATTGTTTGCAACAGCAAAAATTTTGAAGCAACCCAAATGCCCGCTGATGGTAGAGTGAATAATATAACTATATTAAGTATAATTGAAAGTCCTGGTATGGCACTGTAGGATAGGCACTTAACCTCAAGGTTGGTTTGACTGCAAGGATGGCAGTTCAAACTCACCACCATTCCTTGGAAACCCTATACAGGGTGGTAATGAGTCAGAATCAACTCAGTGGCAATTAACAACAAACAACAACAAATATATTTACTGACGTTATTAAAAAGAATGAACAACATTTACAAAGAACATTATCTTAAAACATAATGAGCCAGAAGCGATATACAAAAGAATGCATATTATATCATTTCTCTTCACATATAGGTCAAAATATTTAATAGACCACATTGTTTAGTGATGCACACTTAAAATTTAAAACGCTTAAGCAAAGTAATTGAAAACAATTACCATGAAAGCTGAGCTAATAATTAATTCTAGGCAACAGTCATTAGTAAGAGGCATGAGGGCAAGGCACCTAGAGGAGCCTATCAGTTATTTCTTGACTTGAGAGCTAGTTACATTGATTTGCACTTTAAAATAATTGCTAAGCTGTACAAATTTTATGTACTTTCCTGAGAATGTATTATACCACACAATAAAAGATAATTAAAAAATAATTGACTGGGGAGTAGGGACAGAAGCAAGGAGGTCAGTTAAGATTTTGCAATACTCCTGGTAGAAAATAGTATGCTAGAATCAAAGTATCAAGTGTAAGTACTAAGATGTGATAGGTAGTAGAAGAAATTTGATTGTATCTTGAATTACACACAGGATGTGATAGAGAAATCAAAATAACATCAAAATTTTTTACCTTAGCCATTGGTCAAAACTGGTGCCATCTACTGAAGTGGAAAAGGCTTCAGAACAGCAATTGCGAAGGGCCTTGGCACAGATCAAAATCTGCTAAGTTTGAGATAGCCATGAAATGTCCAAATGGAAATCTTAGTAGGAAGTTTTATTTATAATTCTGAAGTTCAGAGAAGCATTTTAATTAGGTGGAAAACAGAGAAGTCAAGCATATAAATGGGTATTTAAAGCCAAGAGTCTGAATAAGAATATCAAGGGAATTGAGACAAGAAATCTTCTAATATTAAAATCTTAGGGAAATAATGGATAGCAGGCAGAGGAGAATGAAAAGAAGTAGCCAGAGAGGCCAGGGCATATCCAAGAGAATGGTGCCGTGATGTTTCAAAGTACTAAGAATGAACAGTTACAGCAAATGCTGCTGTATCGAGTTAGATAAGAACTGAGAAATGTCCAGTGGAGTTAGTAATGCAGAAAGAGACAAATAGTGTTGTCTCTGATACAAGAAATGAGTATTAGTAACAACAATGAATAGAAAAATATTGAAATACATTCATATCTATTTTTAATTTGTTTTATTCCCTTGGTCTTTCAGTCCATTTAGTTACAAGTTAAAATAGTTTCAGTTACTGCAGATTTACAATGTATTTTAGCATCTGGTGTGGTGCTGTGGGCTAATGTGTCAAACTGCAAACTCGTTTGAACTGCAAGGTCAGTGGTTCAAGCTCACCAGCTGCTCCTTGGAAATCCTGTACAGGGGCACTTTGAGTTGGAATCATCTCGATGGCGCTTAACAACAACAAGGTTAGCCCTTCATTACTCCTCTTTCAAGAAACGTTTATACCTATTCTTGAATATTGAATTCCTTTCCCCAATCTGAACTTTATAATTACCTTGTCTAGTCCTTTATAAAGAAAAAAAAATTAAGAGACTGTTAGTATTTTCACTGCATTCTCATTAAACACATGGAATATTTAAGATACAGAACTGACAGGGTTTGATAATCAGTGTCAGGGAACAAGAGAGAGGAAAGATATCATCAATACGCAAATATTAATTGAAGTTCTGCAAGTAGAGAATGGGACTATTTTAAATGAAAACAGAAATAAAAAAACATAGTTTGGGATAGACTCCAACATCTAGCAGTAGGTATACCCAGAGATGTGAAAGGAAAAATAGGGGTGAGCATCATGGAAGCCTAAGTAAAAAAAAAAAAAAAAAAAAGTGTTGTTGAAAGATTAAAGAAGATACGAGTTAAACAACATTTGCTACAGAATATCATAGACGACACTAATGATCTCGGTAAAGCAGGTTTAGTAGATTGAGATCGAGCCAAATTGTAAAGTGTTAAGGAGAGAATGGGAAAATGCAACAGGGCAATAGCTACAAAGGAATACAGACTAAGTGAGGGTTTCTGTTTCCATTTTGAAATTAGGAAAGGTCTGAATATGGTTTTCTTATGACAGGATCCAGAATCAAGAAAAAGACTGAAAATAGCAAAAGGGAGCAGACAGCATAAGGCTCCCAAGAAGTTGTGAAGATGTGTTTGTAACCATCGATATGCACGTATATGTAGAAGGAAGGGGGAAGGGCAGCCTTATTAAGAAGAACTGATGCCCTACCTCCATTTATAATAAGCAGGAAGAAGGAGACGGCTTAGATAGCACCAGGCAGATAGGTGTTATGGGTTGAAATATGCTACCAAAAAAGATAAACTGAAATCTTAACCCTCAGTGCTTGTGAATGGGACTTTGTTTAGAAACAGGGTCTTTGACTGTGTTATCAATAAATATTAGGCTACAATAAATATTAGGCTAATCCAATATGAATGATGTCCTTATAAAAGAGTCACAGAGAAACACACAAAGAAGGTCATGTGGCAATGGAGGCTGAGATTGGAGTATTTGGCCATAAACCAAGAAATAATTGGGGCTACTAAAATCTAGGGGGAAAAAACATAAAACAAGATCTTTTCCTAAGACCTTCAGAAAGAGCACAGTCCTACTGACACCTTGATTGTGAAAATCTAGTCTCGAGAAGTGTGAGATCATAATTTTGTTGTTTTAGGTCACTCATTTTGTTAATACTTTGTTATGACAGCTCTAGGAAACTAAACTAATACAGTGTGCTTACATGTAGACTTAATGGACAAGGTTCAGGAAATTAGCTTATCAGGAAATAAAAGACATGGCTATCTTTATTTTTAAAACCCCTCCTGATGTGCTGCATTTAGGATGATTTCAATCTGTCACTCTTATCAACAATGCTGTGGTGACTATCTCTTTACATAAACTCCTTATATTCTTTCTTAATTATTTCCTTAGGATCAATTCCTAAAAACAGAATACTGGGATCAAAAAGTATGCACTTTTGGACATTTTTTAATTCTAATTTCAAATTGCCCTTAAGAAAAATAGTTATTTCCACTTCCACTTCCTCCTGTAGTCTCTAAGAACATGTTGTCATACTGAATAGTTACTTTTCACCCACAATCTTTATGTATTAGTGTTTATTGCTCATTTATACTAAAAATAACACAAAAAGAAAAGTATAATTTAAAAAGCATATCAGATTAAGGATAATTATCCTGGTGTGATGCCAAAATATAAGCACTGGACTTAAAGGTCAGTTTGAACCACAAGGTTGGCAGTTCAAACTCACCAGCTGCTCCTTGAAAATCCTGTACAGAGTTGCTATGAGTCAGAACCACCTCGATGGCACTTAACAACAACATACATTCAAGTGTGCTTCATTTAATAAAAATCATCTTTAAATGTCATTCTGGAAACAGAAAAAGTCACTATTTAAGACAGTGAATTTCTTTTTATGGTGATGAAAAATTTGGCAATTATGGATGATCCTTACACATGTTTAGTGTAATTAATGTCACTGAGTTATACATCTGAAAATGCTGACGTGGCAAATGTTTACGCAATAAAAAAAATGTCATCCTATCGAAATTATATAATAAAAATAGAAAGTTCTCACAATTAAAGTTGGAATCCACATTTATCCGTTATCATTATGATCAAAATGAAACGACAAAATGAGATTAGAGGTGGGATCTAAGAAATAACTTCCCAATAAAAATATAGAAGTCTTCCATGAGAAACGTTTTTAATAGAATTCAGTTTGGGCATAGGAAAATGCCATTTGATTACTTGAAAATCATTTGCAATTCAGCTCAAGTAAAATCACTCACCAACCAAGTATATCAGCCCTTCTACCGATGAACTCTCACAAGCTACAGAGCTCATGCCAATTCCACCTTTTCCACAAGAACTTATCATCAGTGCCCTGAAAGCTAGCAACAACGCAGATAACAAACTAGATCTGGGTCAGGGACTATTTTTACTGTTGGTGAGAAACTGCACGATTCTCAAAGGACAGGAGAAACAGGCTCTTTGTTCTTACCTTTACCATGAACGTGAAGTCTGTTAGGGCCGGGGAGTAGACGGCCCCACCAGCACACGGGCCCATGATCAGAGAAATCTGTGGGATGACTCCGGATGCTGAGACATTCCTCTGCCAAGAGAGAATGGCAAACACATCTGGTTACAGAGGGGCTCAAGGCTTTATCTGCAAAAAGGTAAAGGCAACAATAAAGTAACATTTGAATTTTTTTTTCCACAGAAATTCTATCCAGCAGGCAAGAGACCTAATCAGTAAAGTTTCCTCCGAATTCTGTTTGCAGTTTCTCTCCATAACTGGTGTAGTGGTTGGAATGCTACTTTCTGATGCAAATGTTCTCTTTCCTCACTCCTTCTTGGCAACAGCACCCCAATATCTTTTCCCAGACAGTCCCCGCACCTTCACCCCAGTTACAAATACACCCCAAGGCAAGCCTGCCAAATTGTACAACACTACCTAGAAGAATGAAAAAGTCAGTCATAGTCATCACACATCATGCCCAGGATCTCTCTTTTGAGGTGCTTCAGACCAACTGTAGAGGGGACCCCTCATTTACACAGCAAGACTCCTGTGAGGTAGGAGCTGCTATACTCCTGAGTCGTCAAAGTTCACTCTCCCTCATACAGGGTGGCTACAAGAAAAGGAAAAAAAGAGGAGCCAAAAAGGCTCCACAAGGAAAAGTCTCAGGAAAGGGTGCCCTTTGGACACTTATCCACAGGGCCAAAGGCATTTGTAACACTTACCCAAGCAGGGCGGAGGCCTAGGGGACATGTATTTGAGAGACTGATGCTGACAAAGGAATACCTGCAGCTGAGAAGAGATTCTCCTGACCGCAGAACTGCTGTATCCTGAGTTGTTTCTTATCCCAAATTGTGCCAGACAATTTCCCTAATGGAGTCTTGGTGTGCCACTGGACCACAAGATCAGTGGTTCAAACACATTAGAGCACAAGGTCAACAGTTCGAAACTACCAGCCTCTCCACACGAGAAAGATGAATCTTTCTGCTCCCGTAAAGATTTACACTCTTGGTCGCTATGGGTCACAACCAACTCCACAGCACTTAACAACAACACATTCTGCCTCATTAGCATCATACAGATTAGCATTTACACAACAAACAGGATAATTACATAAAATCACAAATTGGAGGGAAATCACATAATACTGAGAATCATGGCCTAACCAAATTGACACGATTTTGCAGGATATACAATTCAATCTGCAACACTGGGGAAAGAGTTGTTGTTGTTGTTGTTGTTGTTGTTGTTGTTGAGTGCCACTAAGTCGGTTCTGACTCATAGCAACCCTATATAGATAGGGTTGCCTAGGGACTGCTGGTTAATTTGAACCACTGACCTTACAGTTCAAACCAACCTTGCAGTCCATTAGCCCCCAGCACCACACCAGGACTCCTGGGAAAGGGTACAAAGAGAATCATTACTTAATAAATATGGAGTTTTTGTTTGAGGTTACAAGAAAAAATTTTAAATAGTGGTGATATATATATATATATATATAGTGGTAATAGTACACAGTAAATATAATTAATCCCATTGGATTATAAATTTCAAAATTATAAATTAGTACATTTTCTGTTCTTTCTGATCTGTGTACAAGTTCCTCAGGAGCACAATTAACTGTTCTGGAATTCCCAATCTTCACAGTGTTATTCATAGTTTGTTATGATCCACAGAGTCAAATGTCTTTGCATAGTTAGTAAAACACAAGTATACATCTTTCTGATATTTTCTTTCAGCCAAGATCCATCAGAAGTCAGCAGTGATAATCCTCATTCCACATCTTCTGCATCCAGCTTGAATTTCTGGCAGCTCCCTGTCAATATACTGCTGCTGTCATTTTTAAGTTATCTTCAGCAAAATTTACTTACATGTGATAATAATGTTGTTTGTTTAATGATTTCTACATTTATTGGGTCACCTCTCTGTGGAATGGACACAAATATGGATCTCTTACAATTGGAGAGAAAGGTGACTGTCTCCCAAATTTCTTAGTATAGATGAGTGAACACCTCCAGTGCTGCATCACTTTGTTTAAAGATTTCAATTTGTATCCCTTCATTTCCTAGAGCTTTGTTTTTCACCAATGGCTTCAGTACAGCTTCATTATCCTAGAGTTTTGGTCATATAGTACCTCTTGAAATGGTTGGACATAGACTACCTTTTTGGTACAGTGACTCTGTATAACTACTATTTTCTTTTAATGCTTTCTGCATCATTCAGTATTTTACGGGTAGAATCCTTCAATATTGCAAATCAAGGCTTGAATTTTTTTAGTTCTATCAATTTGAGAAATGTTAAGCGTGTTCTTCCCATTTGGTTTTCTAAACATCAGGTCCTTGCACATTTCATTGTAATCTTTGAGTTTGCGTTCTCAAGCTGCCCTTTGAAATTTTCTGTTCAGTTGTTTTACTTTCTCATTTCTTCCATTCACTGCCATCTCTACCTAGAAAAGCAAGTTTCCGTTTCTTCTAACATTCATTTTGTTCTTTTCTTTCTTCCTATACAATGTGCTTGATGTCATCCCACAACTCTTCTGGTCTTTGGTCATTAGTATCTAATGCATCAAATCTGTTCCTGGAATGGTCTCTCATACATGGCATAAACATAATGTAATATTTAATATATTATAAATGTAACTGAAAACATACAAATAGCAGAAGACAAACTAGATGACTGGGATCACCTAAAAATTAAGACACTTAAGGGCATCAAAATATTTCACTTATGTACATCAAAAAGTATCTTGCAGAAACTTTAAAAGAGGAGATAAAACAGGTAGCTTTCACCTGGTCTGGAGCAGCACAGCCATCTAGAGCTTTGGTAGAAAGCTGTGGCAATTGTGGTCTGGAGGCACACTTACAATGGGAATAAGGAGAGCAAGTACTCCATTGTTCTTGTGTCATCCTGGTAGCCAGGGACATGTCTAGTCACTGTCCTCATCTTCCCAATGGCCAGTGTCAACCCTTCCTATGCAACCTCTGCTCTGCTTGGGGTCAGGCACTAGGTGCAATACCCCATGTAAAGACATACAAGAATTTCTCCACGTTAGATCTTTTATTGCTGGTGTTTCCTTTAGGGAGACAGAAATTTTGCCATACAGTCCATACATAGCTGTACTTCCTATGGCTCCATTCATTGGGCATATGCCACTACTCCCTTCTGTACCATATAATCAGCAATCAGCAGTAGCCAACATCAGACAAACCAACCCTGAACTAACTACACAAAAACCTAACAGAAAATTGTGTACACTCTTACAGTCTCTATCACAACACTCACAGTTTGTGAGTGCCTTAGAACACACCAACACACAATTATCAATAAATAGAATTTATTGTATCAATAAATACAATTTCTCAAATAAAATAGACAATTTCACCTTACATGAGGAAGCAAGATATATAAGTAACCAAAATAAATTATATCAGAATTACCTGCTAAGAAATTCAAAAGAAGAACAAACAAGGATGGTGGATCGGGCAGAAGTGTAGTGAGGAGCTCCATCAGCAACAACACAGAATACCAGACAAAGCAGGCCCAGGGAATGGTGCCTGGATTCTGAACCACATATAAAGGAATATTTAGAAGATCAGAAGGCTTACAGCTAGGGGATTCTGCAGCAGAAGTGCTTTCTAATCCAAGATTCTCAGCTGCTCCCAGAGCCACCATCTTGGAAGAGACCAAGCAGGGTAAGGATCAGAGCAGCCACGGAAGCCTGACAGAACCATGGAAATAAAGGTGTGGACATTTTATTTTTTTTGTATCTGTTCATTGGTCTCTCACTGTGCACCTCCATTCTGGTGACTAGAGGGGGGGCCTG